CTAGGTGATCCTGGTTTGGCAAGGGGGTTGGATGGGATGATCTCTAGAGGTCCCTTCCAACCCCCACTGTTCTGTGATCCTGTGAAGCAGTTGTTTTTGACTGCTCCTCAGTGATGTTCCCCAGGGGACTCTGGTGGGAACTGGAAGTGAGTATGGGTTTGAGTCTAGCAAGAGCTGTGAGTGCATAGGGTTGGAAGAGAATTTCTAGTTTGTTCTGTAGTGCTACATTTCTACACTGTTACAGTTTAAATTCGGTGAAGCAGTTGATCCTGTACTAAACTGAACTCTGTCTTCCCTTAGCCACCTGAACGGCAGATTGTGGTAGGAATCTGTGCCATGACCAAAAAGTCCAAGTCAAAGCCCATGACACAGATTCTGGAGCGTCTGTGCAAGTTTGAGTATATCACAGTGGTGATTATGGGGGAAGATGTTATTCTGAACGAACCGGTGGAGAACTGGCCCTCCTGTGACTGCCTAATATCGTTCCACTCCAAGGGTAAGAGTCTGTGGCAGGCCTTAGCCTACTTGAGATCCAGGCAAGGGACCTTCCAGTCATTCTTCCCCACCCTCTCCTGCATTTCAGGGTTCCCCCTGGATAAAGCGGTTGCTTATGCCAAGCTGTGCAAGCCATTTCTGATTAATGACCTTGATATGCAGTATTATATCCAGGACAGGTAGGTGTGGTCCACTAAAGCCCCTTCCCCTTCCTTTATCTGATTCCTCTCCTCAGCGTGCTCTCCAAACTTTGTCTTCCTGGCCACAAGCAAATGAATGAGATGGGGAGGAAGGGGACCTTAGCAATGGCTTTTGGGGATTGTTTCTCCAAGACGTGGAGGGGATGAGATTCGAGGGTAAAACCATTGAGACTTGACCTGTTTATTTTCTGGTGAAAATGTCTTGTAAGGAATGGCTAGATGAAGTAGGACATGGAAGAGGTCTCACAGAAGAAGACTGCCATGGCTAGGACAAGCAAACTAGTGTCTGAGTAGGAGAGCCAAGTAGTGGGATGTGGTTCTGGGACAGAAATTGTGAGTGAGGCCAGGTCAGATTCTGAAGAGGGTAAGTTGGGCAGACACTTCAAGAGGCTTCTGGATCAGCTCATGGTAGAAGCCACCAGCAGCTACATACTTTGGTACGTACAGCCACACCGCTTTGGGTAGGGCTTGTACCAGACCCCAGACCTGCTGCCATGTCTTTGGGTTATGAGTGGTATTCTGTGGGTGCTGACAGGCACCCCAAAGTGTAACTAGGAAAAGAAATGCAGTTTCTCCACTGACACAGGATGAGAAGAGGCTGTGCTGCCTCTGTCTGCCCTGGGCATTGAGCAGCTTAGTGTGACAGGGCACCCCTCGAGATGGGAGATCTGGGTGGGTGTCTTGCTGGGGATTGCACATGTGCTAGTAAATAAGCATCTACCTTTAGGCCAGGTAGAGATTTACCCTGGGACACCTCTGTCTGGAGCAGGACTGAGGCATGCCCCATAGACTGTGGGTCTTACCTGGAAAGCATGCACTGAGAAGTATTTGCACTCTGTCTTGAGTCTCTTTTGTGTTCATTTGACTTTGTTCTTCATTAGTGAGAGAGAAGTCTTTCCCTTGACATGTACTGAAGACCTTCTAAACTCTTCTGACACCGTTTCTGTCCTCTGCAGGCGTGAAGTGTATCGGATCCTTCAAGAAGAGGGCATAGACTTGCCCCGCTATGCCGTGCTCAATCGGGACCCTGACAGACCAGAAGGTCAGTGTCTGGCCTCCACTGAAAGCCATTTTCACACATTGTGCTACTTAAGATATTCTGCAGAGAGCAGGTACTGATGATCAGCTGCAAGAGGTACAATTCAGAAGTCTGTTGGGTTTTGAGGACAAAGGTCCCAGCAGCAAAACTGACTGCCAGGCCAGGACCAGAGGGCTTCGTATCTGCCCTAGGGCTGTCCGCCCGTTCCTAACGCTGCTGCCTGCTCTGCCTGCAGAGTGCAGCCTGGTGGAGGGAGAGGACCATGTGGAGGTGAACGGCGCAGTCTTCCCCAAGCCCTTCGTGGAGAAGCCTGTCAGTGCTGAGGACCACAACGTGTACATCTACTACCCGACGGCGGCGGGCGGGGGCAGCCAGCGGCTCTTCCGCAAGGTGAGGAGGGGCACTCCAGTCCTGCTGCTGGAGCCAGCAGAGCTGTGGCTCTGAGACCCACGTGGCTTCTCAGGGGCGTGCTGGGCCAGGTGAAGGGGGAAGGAAGGTTTTGTGTTGGGGAATTCTACACCTTCTTGTAGCTTTTACTTCAACCCATCTACCTGGGAATTGCAGAAGGATGCATTTTAGTGGCAGTGCTGACTTTGCCTTCCCCATCCTCTCTTTGACCTGTGTTCTGTCTCAACAGTGATGGAGAACTGTGCCCATTATTGAATTGCATGCTGGTTCTTCCAGATCACTTCCTCCATTTATCAAGATACTTATGTTCGTCTCCTCTAACATCACTGTTGCCCTTCCCAGCTTAGTGTAGCTTGCAGATGTGATAAATGCAGTATTTATTCCCAGATTCCACAGGGAGTCTGCCCTCACTCTCTTCCTCCACTTTGCCAGTGAACAGCCAATAGCTGTGACCTTTTTTCCAGCCAGTTCCACACCTGCCATTAATAATCTTAACGTGATTGTTTCCTTAGCTAATATGCAGACATGCCACTTGAGGCTGTATCCAAAGCCTTACTAAAGATGAAAACAACATCATGCTCTGCCTATAAGATCAGCCAGCTGTCCTAGAGGAAAGTTAAATTGATCTGATTGTCACCTGTCATCATTTCTTCTCATTCGGTTGTTAGCTAAGCTCCCTGCTTTCCAGGTCTTTATACACAATTTTTTGTTCCATATCCTTGTAGTGATTGGAATCAATCTAATGATCCATAATAACTTTTCTCCTCTTTTAAACCTGGAAAAAGACTACTGTCTGTGTTTGGGGTCTCTTTTGTCCTCCGTAGATAAACATGCTGTAGTAGCTGGGGGTTCTGAGAGTTGTTCTGCTAATTCTCTACGTATAGGGTGAAACTTGTGCTTTTTGTTCTTCTGTCTAAGAAAAGGAGCCTGATGCTTTTCCCTGAGGTGTTTATTCTGTGCTTCCAGATTGGCAGCCGCAGTAGTGTGTACTCCCCAGAGAGCAGCGTGAGGAAGACGGGCTCATACATTTATGAGGAGTTCATGCCTACAGATGGCACTGATGTAAAGGTAAGGAGAATCCTGGAATAGCTCCTTCCTTCCCCAGGCCTGCCATAGCTGGAGGGTGAGCAGTCCTGCTTAGATTCTGAAGTGTTTGTTTAGCTGTAGAGGAGCTTGGACCCTAAAGCAGGGAGCGGATGTGCTGTAGGTTGTAACAGGAGGAGTGCACAAGACCCTCTGATCTTCTCTCTGTGTCTGCAGCAGAGGTGCCTGCTGGCAGCTGCAGTTGGTCTGGGTGGTTGTGCCAGGTGTGACCGTTTCTCCTCTCAGGTGTACACGGTGGGGCCGGACTATGCCCACGCGGAGGCTCGCAAGTCCCCTGCGCTGGACGGGAAGGTGGAGCGGGACAGCGAGGGGAAGGAGATCCGTTACCCCGTCATGCTGACTGCCATGGAGAAACTCGTTGCTCGGAAAGTCTGTGTAGCCTTTAAGGTCAGTGCTTTCCCTCCTTTGCAATCAGGATAGCCCACCAGTGTCTGAGTCAAATGTCGGTCAGTGTCAAAGCTTGAGCTGTGTTACCCCAGTTTGCCTCTGGTGGGGACTCTCCCATGCCTGATGCAGGTTGCTGTCTGTGCTGTCTGGGTGCAGCTGGTCCTGCCAGCTGTAGCAGTTTGCTGGTCAGAGTTGACTGGGAAGGCAGGAGGGTCTGCAGCAGCAAATATCCTCTGTGCCAGCAGGTGGCTGGTGTCCAACCTCTGGGCATTTCATATCGGATTCTGATCATGTTGCTGTCCATCTGACTTGTGTTCATCCAACCTTTATTGTTCCCTAGTTGTGTTTGTGTGGCAGGCTTGGTCTTCTCCTCGGTTTTTTTTTTTGGGGTTTTTTTTTTTTTTGTTTTGTTTTGTTTTTGTTTGTTTTGTTTTTGTTTGTTTTGTTTTTGTTTGTTTTGTTTTTGTTTGTTTTGTTTTTGTTTGTTTTGTTTTTGTTTGTTTTGTTTTTGTTTGTTTTGTTTTTGTTTGTTTTGTTTTTGATCTGGCTTTGGTGCACATTTGTCTTTTATTTACACATTGGTCTGCAGGTCTAGGTGTGATTACAAGATGTGTTCAGCAATGTCAGGAAGAAGTACTTGGCCACTTGTTCCTGTGGCTGCTGCCATCTGCAGCCCGTGCAGTTGTGCTGATACAGCTGTGGGCTTGTTCAGCCCTGTAGCCTCTTTCTCATAGTGGTGGATAGTGTCTTGGCCTGCAACACATTGTCTGTCTTTGTCAGACTGTTTCAAAATGGTTGAATGGATTTAGAGGGAGGAGCAGGAGAGCCAGGAGTCCCTTGTCCTCTGCTTCCTCACGCAGCAAACGGTGTGTGGGTTCGACCTCCTGCGGGCGAACGGCCACTCCTTCGTCTGCGACGTGAACGGCTTCAGCTTCGTGAAGAACTCCATGAAGTACTACGACGACTGTGCCAAAATCCTGGGGTATGTAAAATTCAGGTTTTCATAGTGGGTAAGGTAACTCATAGCCTGTGGAATCCTGCTCAGTGTGTCAGAGAAGTCTGCAGATGGGTTTTCAGCAGGTGAAAGCTTGGCTCTGGGAGGAACGGGTTATTTATTTTGGCCTCTGGAGCTCCTGCCTATGTTGGCATTAGCTGTGTTTGTCTATAGCTAGATATGTCTTATTGGATGCTAAGCCCAGCTGCAGTATTGGTGGTGTGAGGGAAACTGGTGTCCCTTTGGGGTGCCCTAACTAGTCCATGGCGTAGTAGATGTCTCTGTAAGGAAGGTAAGGAGAAGTTGTGTGTCTTCAACTCTTTCAGCTGCACCACTAAGGAGAAGGTGGAGAACCAAAGGAATGGAATTTCTTGTGAGTTTTGTGTTCTGATTTCTTCCAGAAACATAATAATGCGGGAATTGGCTCCCCAGTTTCATATTCCCTGGTCCATCCCAACAGAGGCAGAGGATATTCCCATTGTCCCCACGACTTCAGGCACCATGTGAGTATCTGCCATCTTCTCAAAAGAATGCTGGTGATGGCTGCATGAGGGACAAAGTGCAAACCCTTTCCAAGGAATCGACATCACTCAGTAGCATGGTGTTCTCCAGCTGCTGTGTTGGCTGCAACCCTGAAATGCCCATGGAAAGACCTAGCCATGCACAGGAAAGGGGTAATAGATGGCTTTCAGAAGGCTCAAATTCTTGATCAGCACAGGACACAGAGTAGGGCATTGCTGTTGCTGGCTTGCTGTTAAGTAGAGTGCTACTCGGAGGCAATATGTGTTGAGCGGCCAGTGAAGTGGGTGAAAACAGCTGAAGTATTCACATTACCCTTGTACACTTGGCAGACCCTTGTCTGATGCTGTTGGCCTTACTAGTTTTCCACCACATAAGGCTAAAAGACCAAGGGCACAAGTTTTTTTGTGATCCTCAGCACACTTGTGCACTTGTATGAAGTGAACAGAGTAGGTGCTATGGGAAAGGTAAACTGAGTGTGCTGAGGAAGACGTGTTCATCCTTCCTTTGTGGCCATTGGGCAAAAGCTGGGAAACACAAACGCTGCACAGGCCACGGGACTGTTGGCTTCAGTGACACCTTGTGACAATGGTAGAAGCAATCCCTCTTTCTCTGGGATCCTATAGGAAATAGTTGGATATTGTAGTATCTGAAAAAGCAAACTCTTGTAGCCCTTCTGAAAGGAACCAGCCTCACTACTGGTTCCTGAAGGTGACTGGTTGCTGTGGGGTCTTCCTACTTACGGCTCTTACTGCAGGAAGACAGGACCCCAGCTGTATAAGCATTGTTCTGAACCAAGTTGTTTTTTTCTGGAGTCTTTCAAAGTGGTCCTATGAGCATTCCACGAGCTGGGCATGAAAACCAGCGTGGCACAATTCAAATGCAGTTTCTGTAGATTCTGTGACATCCAGTCTGGTCCTTTCTGCTGCAGATGGGTTTGCTGCCTGTCTTGTTATAGTACTGTGGTGCTTTTCCCTGGCAGGAAACCAGGTGACCAGGCAGTGTCTGCAGTACCTTGTTTTTACAGCCTTGGCACTTGTGCCTGATCTAGTTGGAGAAGTTCTGCCACTGATGAGGAAAGCAGCTGTCAAAAGAATGGAACTACTTTCTGGTGGCGGTTCTGGAGTGCAGGGGCACGTTTGGCAGGTGTATCTGGTGTTTCCTCAGGATGGAACTTCGCTGTGTTATCGCAGTCATCCGGCACGGAGACCGCACCCCAAAGCAGAAGATGAAGATGGAAGTTAAGCACCCCCGGTAAGAGCCAAGGCAAGAAGATGCTGTGCTGCAGGGAAGTGAGGAGGGCCTGTTCTCGGGGTCGAGGAGGAGCAGAGGGGCTGAGTGCATGGGAGGCGGTTCCTTTTCCTGGCTGCATTGGAGCAAATGCTTTCTGCCCAGTTGAGGGAGGCTCCTTTCCCCATAAAGGTCCTGGCACCTTCTGTGTGAACACTGAAAGAAAGAGTGAAGGACTGCTAGGGGCTGCACAGGGAAGTGCCCCACTAAATGGGAAGCTCATGACCACTTCCTTTCTGTACCTGCAGCTGGAAGCACTTGTCTTTTGCAGAATTTCTGAAGCACGGGAAGGAGCTAGTGGGCCTGAAGAACAGGGTGTGAATTTGTATGTAGGGATGACAGTCCATGTCGCACTGAAACAGCAGAAAATGGATGAGGGTTCTTCGCTGTCTTTTCAGGTTCTTTGAATTATTTGAGAAATATGATGGCTACAAGACAGGGAAATTGAAGCTGAAGAAGCCAGAGCAGCTACAGGTGAGGGAAGTTCTTTCTGGGTTTACTTTGTGGGACCTGCAGGCAATACGGATCCCATCACGAGGCAATTATTTGGGAGGGTGGAAACCCTTCAAAGGGCAACAATCTGTTGCAAAAACACTCCCTTTCTCATTCCCCACCTTGTGCACTCTCAGCTGGGTGGTGGTATGTGAGCGGAATGGAAACTGTTCCTGGCTGATATGAAGACTGTAGGATGGAGATGACCTGATGCAGCTTGCCTATGTGTGGTGGTTGTGACTGGTGAAAGGTGGGCCCAGGCTAGGGAGTGGGGCAGCTGGAAGCACCTGCTTGGGTCTGAACAGGGCTGCAGCACAGAGTAGGGATGGAGCAAACTGCAGTGTGAAGGTTTGTCCTGCCTGAGTTGTGTCTTACAAAATGACACGTCTGTGTGGACCTGGTGCTGGGTGAAGCCCTCTGGAGGCCTTGCAGGAGCGCGGTGGTGAGTGTGAGGCGGAATTGCTGGGTGCTTGAGACTGTCTGCTCTCCAACAGGAAGTGCTGGACATTGCACGGCAGCTGGTGGTGGACCTGGGGACCCACAGTGACTGTGAGATTGAGGAGAGGAAATCCAAACTGGAGCAGCTGAAGAGCGTCTTGGAGATGTAAGGGCTCATCTCTCGGGGCACTGGGTTTGTCTCAGCTGTAGGGCAGCATGCACTGTAGGACCAGGCTGTGCTGCTGCTGGCTGCCCACAGGTCAGGGTCCCCTCCATCCTCCGCTAGCAGCTGCACAAGAAAGGTGCCGTGCTCTTGATGTTTTCTCCCTGGCATCAGAACCACTGCTGATTCTTGTTCCAAGTGTGTCTGGGTTTTGGCTAAACAACCTGAGACAAAGCTGAGCTTGGTTTGTGTGGGAGAGGAACTGGAGTCCTGTAGGGACCACACTGATTTGAAGTATTTTGATAAATTTGGAGCAAGTCTTGTTTTAAATAAGGTTCTCCTTATGCCAAATGTTTGACAAAAAGGAGCTTGGAAAACGTGAAAATATGTTTGTGTCCTCTTAGGTTTAGTATAGCCCAAATAAAAGACAGTGTGGTGATTGCACCTTATAAACAGGAAGGGTTTTTCTCAGAACTACAGCTTGCTGTGGCGTACGCAGGCAGGGTCTGTGCTCAAGCACAGAGGATGAATTTTTACTGTGGTTCCTTCCCCTGCTTGTTCCTGCTCATGAGAGTTGTGGTTATCCTCAGAGTGGCTGGCAGATTGTTATTTTGTTGGTTTTTTTTTTTCCCCCCTGTGATCTCATTAATTCACTTGGTAGAGATGTAGATAGACATTAACTAAGGCTGGTGAAAGCCCCAGTGGGGTACGAGAGCGCAGGGTGCTCCCAGTTGAAGAGCAGGCAAGTAAATGTATCTTGGAATTTCATCTGGGGGATTGTTTGGGGCACATGCCAGGTCACAGGAAGATGGCAAAAATGTTCATGTTCTGTGACAGCTGGTGTTGCAGCAGAAAACCTCTTGTGTGTTCTGTGCTCCCTTAGGACCTCTGGGGAAAGGGTGAGTTGAGTTGATTTGTTTAATTGTATTTTCGCCTCTCTCACTGTGACAGGTATGGACATTTTTCTGGCATTAACCGTAAGGTTCAGTTGACCTACCTGCCTCATGGACATCCAAAAGCTGCAAGTGAAGATGAAGGTAAAGAAACCTGATGTTGTTGCCATGATCTTCAGGCCTGTTGTTCAAGAGTGTCTGCAGCTATCCGACCTCTATAAGCCTCTGGATGCACCTATATAGTGACTCACATCTTAACTTTGCACACTCCCTGTGAAGGGCTGGAGTGACACATGATGTTGTGTACCAGTATATCCAGACAGTGCCTCAGGGCTTCTGCTTCCAATTTCATGGGTGTCAGCCTATACCTTCAGAAAATAGTGACTCTTAATTTTGTACTTGCTGGTTTGGTTCCTGGGGATTTTGGGTCAGGCTTGTGTTGAGAACACTCTGCAAGGTGCTGATGACAATCTCTTCTTCCTCCCCTCCTCTCCCCCTGCAAGCTCAGCTTTGACATCTGATGTAGTGAGTACCTGTTTGTCTCCTAGAAGCTCGCCGAGAGCCTTCCCCATCCCTTCTCCTGGTGCTTAAGTGGGGTGGAGAGCTGACACCAGCAGGAAGAGTCCAGGCAGAAGAGCTGGGGAGAGCCTTTCGCTGCATGTACCCTGGGGGCCAAGGTAAGCTTTGCCTATAGCTCTCCAGCCCTGTCCTGTGGTTGTGCCAAGCTGTCCCGCCCAGATGACCCATTGCCAGCGTGAGGGTTGCTCAGACATCTGTGGCCTTCTGCAGCCTGTGTGACTCAGGCCATCACTGGTTTTGTTCTTTTGAGTTCCCCTGGTGAAGATAAGGCTGGGTTGAGATGTCTGCTTCAGTGGTTAAACTTTAGTGTGTCTTGGAGCACAGTAGCAGTCTTTCAGCTAACGTGCCACTGTTCAAAACAGAGGAGCCATTCTAGTAAGATACATTCTGATGCAGCAAGTATCATTTAGGTCAGATGTAGAGAACAGAGGAAATTATCTTGGAACACAGATAATTCTGCCTTGATACAAGAGGGTAGGAAAGTAACTTCTCCGTATTTTCTCCACCATAATTCTGTGGCTCTGAAAAGCATTTACTTTACACACAGATCAACAAGAGCCCAAAGGGAGAGGAAAAGGCTGAGATTGTCTTTTTCGTCCAAGTAGGGCCAGAAGTAATACACTGCTACTGTATTGATTTGACAAGGCCAGTGTTGGGTACTGCTTATTTTTGACTTGTATGTTTAATTAATTCAATTTAATTAATTAATTTTCAAATTAATTAAGCTAGTTTAAATTGAATTTGAGAAGATGTCCTCCTGGAATAAGGAAGAGTTACCCTTGATGGAGGGGGATCAGCTCAGGAAATACTTGAGAAAACTGGACATCCATAAATACGTGGTCCTCGATGGGATGCACCCCTGAGCGCTGAGGGAGCTGGCAGATGTCACTGCAAGGCCACCCTAGATCACCTGTTGAAAGGCTGTGGGGACTGGGGTGGGTGCCTGAGGACTGGAGAGGAGGGAAATATCACTTCTGGCTTCAAAAATGATAAGAAGAAGGACCCGTCAACCTCACCACAATCCCTGGGGAGGTGATGGAGCAGCCGCTCCTGGAAACCCTTTCTGGGCACATGAGGGACAGGCAGGTGACTGGGAGTAGTCAGCACGTGGGTTCACAAAGGGAAGTCATGCTTAACGAACTTGATGGCCTTCTACAGTGACTGGGTACTGTGCAGAATCATCAGGGGATTCCAGGCAGCGGCACACGAGTCACCACTGCACTGGGTTTGGAGGGCCAGACTCGAGCTGCACGAGCTGCTTTGTGCCCTCCCTGCTCTGACTCCTGTGAGTGACTCGGCAGCTTGTGCCACAGGACGGCTGTGGCTCTGCAGGCTGTGCTTGGGGAGCAGAGTGCCTGCCCACTGGGCAGCCTTGCCTGCAGTTCTGGTGGCAGCAGCACCTGCTCCTGTGCAGAGAACAAGCAGGAGGAGGCAGGCAGGGGTTTTTGTGCATCTTTATTTTGCACAGAGGTGTTCAGGCTAGCAGAACAGTTGTGGACTGTTCAGAGAGGGTTGCTGCAGAATTTGGGCAGCGTCAGACTTGGCTTATTTTCTTCCTCAAAATGAAGTTGCCCAAGTTAAGCAAAGCCTGAATCAGATTTCTAGTCACCACGTTTAGCTAGAACTGTCGATTTTGGAGTCGCATAAATGCCGGCTGGGAAAATCATTAACTCTCTACATAACTTTGTTACTGCAGTGAAGTTTGTTGACTGAAGCAGTGTAGTCAGCTGATAGTTTTGCAGGTGTCAGAATATGAGTGTAGAGGTTGCTCTCTGTTGCAGGTGATTACGCTGGCTTCCCCGGGTGTGGCTTGCTCAGGCTGCACAGCACCTATCGTCATGATCTCAAGATCTACGCCTCAGATGAGGGACGAGTCCAGATGACAGCAGCAGCTTTTGCAAAGGTCCTTCCTTTCTTTTGGGCATCTGTTAGTTCTGCTACATTCATCTTAAAATATGCCAGTTGTAAAGGAGAACCCAGAAGGTGCAGTCCTGGGAACTTCCCCCTTCCTGCTGGGAGGACAGTGGTGCACTGTGCTGATAGGAAGTGTGAGGGGGGATACTGGCAGTCCAGTGTAGCAGCACATGTGTGTTACCTCGAGTGTCCTGACCAGGACAGCACGCTGACCAGAGGAGGAGTTACTGATGGAGTATTGCTGGTGTTTGATGTTAGAGCACATCAAACCTGTTGCTGAGTATTAATTGCCTACAAAATAAGTGCTTCTTGAATGGCTGCCCAGCCAGAGGGGTTATTCCTTGACTGCTGGATTTAAAAGGGGAATGATGAAATGTCTTTGGTGCAGTGTGGGGGCTGGCGAGAAGACAGGTTCATCTACAGTCAAAGCCTGAGCCAAGGGGAAAACTGGAGTGGCCTTGGCTGTTCTTCAGAACCTCTGCTGTATCAACATTTTCCAGCAAACTGAGTGGGCTGCTCAACAGTTGCCTAGACAAGTCTGGGGCTGCTACAGGCAGAGCTGGCCCCTTGCCCTGAATAGCTCTAGATGCATGCCAGAGTCACTGGTGACTGTAGGTGCTGTTGCTGTGACACTGCTCTTCAAGGACAGTTGAGATTTCACTCAAGTTGACTGAGGGCTGGCCATGAAACTAACAAAAATGCTTGTTGCTTGGGTTGTACATAGCTGAAATCTTGTCCTGTGTTGCTTTAGGGTCTGCTGGCCCTGGAAGGAGAGCTGACGCCCATCCTGGTGCAGATGGTGAAAAGTGCCAATATGAATGGTCTCCTGGACAGTGACAGCGATTCCCTTAGCAGCTGTCAGCACAGAGTGAAGGCACGACTGCATGAAATTATGCAGAAGGATGCAGACTTCTCTGAAGAGGATTATGAGAAGGTAAAGCACCTCTATGGCTTTATTCCTTCTTGTATCTGGAGGGAGAAGAGTGTTGCTCCTGTGGTTTGATGTGAAGCCTGCTGGTATGTGAACGGTAGTTTGGTTAGTCTGAAATCAGTTCTGGTCAAAATTGCAGGATATAAACAGAACTTAGGAAGGGAGAGGGCAGGTTAATAGGCCCTGCCCTTCTCAGAGTGAAAATCCTCAGTGTTGCTCCACTGTACCCTTCAAGAATCATCGTGGTACCTTCCTCTCCCTTTAGAAGTTCCAGTGCATTTTATTCTTCTGAGTTCTTGTGGTTTACTGCATGCTGCCCAGAACAATCCCAGTAGCTGTGGACAGGGAGTATGCCTTGTCAGACTCTAGATCTGTGCTCTGTGCATGTGTGAACAGGTCTTGTGGACCTATGCAAACACTTTTGTGGTCCTATCAGTGTCAGGTAACTGCACAATAGGGAGCATGGATTACATCTAGCACAGCAACCAATACAGGCACTATAGCTGCTTCTCCAGCAAGTCCCCAGAACACTGTTTTGCCCAGGCTCTGAGATCTGATTACTGGACTGAAATCTATTACCATTAAGGAACGTATTTATCACCTCAAATACCTACTAAATCTTCTGTGATGCTCTTCTGCTCAAGCACAGAAGCCAAGTGAGACAAGAGTGAATACTGTCAGTGGAGGGAGGTCTTATTTGATAGGAGCAGTTGTTTGCTCCCTCTGAGCTTCGTCCTGGGGAAGTTTTTAAAACACATCTAACTACACCTGGGAATAGGCCAGCTTATTATGCTGAGCTGGGAGCACAACTTCTGTACCTAATAAGAAGGTAGTACAGTTTGTGTTACCAGTTTGTAAAGATATTAACTAATCTCTGCTGGTATCTTCTCCCAGCTAGCACCTACAGGCAGTGCTTCTCTGCTCAACTCCATGACATTTATCCAGAACCCAGTAGAAGTTTGTAACCAGGTGCTCACCTTGATAGAGAATCTCACCTCCCAGATAAAAAAACGGCTGGAAGACCCAAAATCTGCAGGTGGGCATGAGAACTGGAAAGGATCTGGGGCAGGTTCGTTTATCGTTGCATGTTCAGAACTCCCAAACACCAGTGTGGTTTGGGTTTGTCCGTAGCAGAGAAATTCTAAAGTGGAATTCTGTATGTGCTATTGATGCAGGAGGATTTTATTCCACTTTCCACTGCTGTTAAAGAAAGCTGTAATATGCTAAAAGCACATTAAAGTAAGCTGAAATTCTATGTGCATCTTTGTCTTAGAGTGAACAGAACCAGCAGCAGTACAGGCTGGAGAAGTGTGTCTGATTTTTCTTCAAGCATTTCCTGGAGGGGAGCTCAAGACTATAAAGAGCATGTTTTCCAGAACTTTACTAATAACAGTGCAGAGGTTTTAAAAAGGCATTTGTGGGACACGTAACACAATTTATGGGAGGCATAAGCCGACAGGCAAGAAGCTTCATTTTTCTTCAAGAATTTTGGAATTATCCTATTGCTGCAAGTTAAAACTCTGCAATAAGTCCAGTGGCTTTTCCAGTCTTAGGTTCCTGAGGGTGACATGATAATCAGAGCCATTCTGTGCTGGGGGAACTCAGTCATAGCTGTCACTTGACATCTGTGCAGAGGTAGTCCGGGTGTGAATGTGCTGTGGTGTTCTGTGCTGCTTAGATCTGCAGCTGTACCACAGTGAGACTCTGGAGCTGATGCTGCAGCGCTGGAGCAAGCTGGAGCGGGACTTCCGCCTGAAGAGCGGGCGCTACGACATCAGCAAGATCCCCGACATCTACGACTGCATCAAGTACGACGTGCAGCACAACTGCGCCCTGAAGCTGGAAGGCACAGCTGAACTCTTCAAGCTCTCCAAAGCCCTGGCAGATGTGATCATACCCCAGGTAGAGCTCGTCCTGCCTGTGTGACGATGCCTGTGGTGTCATTTCCTGACCCTTTCCCTGTCTGATTTTATTCTAATCTCTTGCACTAATACTAAACCCCAAGGTAATGACGTATCACCGGTATTTCTCAGATATATCTCTTAGTGTTTGTATAAGACCAAAACCATTTATGACTTAAGATGTGGCAGGGCAGTTTCCTGGATGAGGATTCTGACAGTGCCAGAATAACGAAGAGCTGATGCAGCAGGTTGGCTGTGCTATCACTGTGCATTATAGTGCAGCTTCCAGCTGAGCACATGTGCTGCAGCAACATCCCCTTCTCCACGTACAAGACTGTGCAGGCAAAGTGAGATTTCTGTGTTAAAGCGAAGGCTTGTTCTGACAAGTTTGTTATTCTTGTTTGCAAAGTTGAGTTGCTTCTCACAAAGTTTATGCCTGTGAACATGGGAGGGGGAAGGAGGGCCACATGTGATGGATCTCTGTACTACCCATTGTTCTGTCCCACTTCTGGCAGAAATGCTTCTTTTATAGCTTAGCTTTCTAGCCTAGCTTCTGCCAGCTAGGTCCAATTGCACTTCTGCCCATGTAAGGCAGAAGTGGTCTTCTAAACTTTGTCACAGTGTTCCTGATGAGATAGGGTTTGGCTGTTTCCAGCATAGCACTTCAAGTTTTATATTTGCAAATAGCATTGTTGCATGAAAGCTCGTGCCAGGGCAGTTTGTGTGTGTCATGAGAGGATGTTTCCTGATGGTAGTTTCACCTCAGCTGTGGGAATAATACTGTCTAGAGAGATTTGGGTTCTTGGAGGTGTCTCTGTCCTCCTCCTCTGTAGTAAATGGGGAAAAAAAAAAAAAAAAAAAGAGAGAGGTGCTGAGTGACATTTCCCTTTCTTGTCCTTGCTTAACTGTAGTGGTGCTTGTGGACAGGACAGTTGAAGTCCAACCTCCTTTCATGTGAGGATGTGACAAAGAACCAGGGCTCAAGGGTATCTGTTGTTTTGTTCCTGCAGGAATATGGGATTAATAAGGAGGAGAAACTGGAGATTGCTATTGGCTTTTGTCTTCCCCTCATTAAAAAGATCCAGCTGGACCTACAGAGAACCCATGAAGATGAGTCAGTCAACAAACTACATCCCTTGTAAGGATTGTGCTGCATGCTGCTGCTGGTGGGGAAGGCAGCTTTGGAGCAGGATGTGGGAACCAGGCCAGAACAGTGTTCTGCTGTGGAAGGAGGCACTGACCATACACTGAAGGACATATCAAAAGGGAGGCATGTTGGTGCTCCTAGAACTAGAAGGGAGATGGCAGGGCACACAGAGGCTGCAGGGCGACCACACAGTGCCACAGCTTAAACTCACTGTGGTTGGATGGTGGTGCCTTCATCTCTGTCTCTGCAAGGGGCAAGTGCTGGTATGATGAGACCACCTCTGCTCCACCCCGTCACTCTGCCAGGGTACCATGAAGCTTGCTGCCTCTGTGCCCAGTGCTCTCTCTCTTCTGCTCCTGCTACAGTCTGGCAGGTCCCAGCATGGGGCTGCCTTACTCTGCGAGGCGTGCAGAGTGCTGCTGTGGGGGGGTGGCGTTGGGCAGCAGGCTGTGAGTAACACTGGGCTGGTTTTGGTTCAGGTACTCCAGAGGAGTTCTGTCCCCGGGTCGCCACGTTCGGACACGGCTCTACTTCACCAGCGAGAGCCACGTGCACTCTCTGCTCAGCATCTTCCGCTACGGGGGGCTCCTGGATGTAAGTGTCCCAGCAGTGCTCACAGAGTAAGCCTCCCTGCTTCTTCTCAGTGGCCCTTTCTAAGGTGGACAGTGTATGTTTGTAGGTTGCCCCTCTAGCCAGCTTCCCTAGTGGTGATGCCATCTGTGGCCTCTGGCCGACTCCATCTCTGCTGTGTTGGCACGCTGCAGGTTCCTGCCTCGCCGGTGTGTGGGAGGGTTGTTCTTGCCCAGTCCTGGCACTGCCTGCCTGCCTTCTCCAGAGGCATGTTTTCTCTGAGGGTTGCTGAAACGTGCTGGTAGACCACTGAGCACTTGTGGCGGGGGACAGCAGTATGAGACAATGGGAATGAAGGCATTCTCTCTTCCTGCTTCTTTCAACCCTTTATTTCAAGAGCTTGGCCCTGTTATGTAGTGACTCTTTGTCAATTCTAAGTCAGGAAAATCAGTTTGCTTACAGGGGAAGTGACTTGAAGTTGCAAATGCATAGGATGTGCTCTCTGCCAGACAGACTCAGTTTTAGGGGACTAACTCATCCTGTCTAACTTTCACTTGTTCTCATAACCTCCTTCCTGAAGGAGCATGCAGGGCATGCAGACCCTGTGAAAAGCTCTGCTTTAGTCTCCTCAAGAAGCTTTCTGATTTTTGTTCCCATTTTTAACCATGGTGTTCTGAAATGCCTTGGGAGTTTGGGCTTGCTCAGCAGGCATGGTTTCTGATGTCTGTGGAAGCTCAGGGTATCTGTAGGCAGCAATCATGCAAGTACCTCTGAATTGCTCACTGAATAAGATGCTACTTTATTCCCCGAGTTGCCAGCACAGGGATATGAAGCTGCATCTGAGTTCATTTGCACTGCTGGGATTCATTCCCTGTCCATTGAGGTGGTGAGGTGCCCCACAGCAGCATGAGTATGGCTGTTCCCTAGCAGTGCTGGGGAGCAGTGAGGGCTGGGCTGCTCTGCCTTGTGGAGCCCAAGGGTCCAGTTGGCTCTGTAGACTTTTCACTCAGCGTTGTGTAAAAGCAACTTCATTTGGTCCCTTCCTTAGCACAAGTTCATCCCTTGTACTTTTTTTGAGATTTCTTTAAAGTACTCCATTCTGTAGGGCGCTGTTTGAGAATGACTGTGTTTGGGAACCTGCTGTGGGTTCTGCTTTTCTCCAGTCAGCATGGCATAGGGCTTGCAGCTGGATGTGCTCAACGTGCACGTGGGCTGTGTGGGTAGCTGGCGTGCCCCTGTGTGCAGTGGCACCCTGCCTTCATGGCAAGGCCCTCTGTCTTCATGCGAGTTAAGCAGGTGGGTTTTGCCCTGACAGTGTTGCTGTCTTCTGGAGAGAGAGAGCAGCTCTCCCAGACCCATGTCACTGAATGCTGTGAGGTGTCTGCTGTTGCTTATTCCATGCGACTGTTTATGTGTATGTATCAGGAAAACAAAGACCAGCAGTGGAAGAGAGCCATGGACTATTTGAGTGCTATCTCAGAGCTGAACTACATGACCCAGATTGTTATCATGCTCTACGAGGACAACAACAAGGTGAGGGATATAGCTGTAGGAAAAAAATTCTTCCTGCTGTGATGCAAGGCACAGTCCCTGGGAGAGGAGTTCAGCTGGGAAGTCTGTAAGCTGAGCTCCCTCCACTTGTGGGTAAAGACAGACGGGTCATTCACACGACTCCTAATTTTTATTTTTAAGTGGGAGGCAGTGACCCAGTTAATGCTTGTCACATGTAAGCAGAATGCCACCCTGAGCAGTAATAGTATCTATTTTAAAACATTTCCTAACACAAAATAATTTGCTGTTTCTTAATATTAATTACAAATGAACAGTAGGAAAAAATAACCCAAATTACGTTGGGCCTTTTTTTCCAAATATTTCTAGAAAATATCCAGAAATTCCACATTTGTAAACTTTTTTTATTTTAAAAATATACTCATAGAGTTAGAGAAGTTATCTTCAGGAAGTAAATGGAATCATTTAAAAAACAGCTGGAGTGGGGAAGCTGATGGTGATGACCCTAAGTAGGTCGGGCACTGAACTGCCTGTCCTGTGACTCAGTCTGGGGCTGCGGGAGGTCCTCATGGGCAAGGGGGGCAGTCTCCTCCTGCCAGAGGCTGTGGGGTTAAAACCTTACAGTCACAGACCTGCTCTGGGGTTCTGATGGTAGAAGTGAGGTATTTCTTAGTGCTGTTTGTCAAAACAAAACCCCAAACAGCTGTGAATAGAGCTCTTAGTAGTGGTGTAAATCTGCTGATCAGTAGAAATGGTGAAACTTGTGGTTTTACATCATTAGTAAACAGAGCTGTAAAAGCTCTGTCTTCCTTTATAAAAGTGTATAAAAAATGAATATCAGAGACAGTTACTTAAATATTGGAACAACGTGACTAAAGGTCCAAGAGTGAATTGATCCCTCCCTGCCCCAGTGTGTGCTGGTTTTGCAACAGGAGTGGATCAGAAGGGGCTATGATTTAGGTCTGTGTGTATACATACATGTATATATACACACACACATACAGCCTGATTCTGTTTTGGTCGTCTGGTGGCTGTTGTCACAAAATAACAACCATTTCAAGGGCTCAGCTTTGTGCCCATAAGGGCTGTCCTTTTGGATGAGACAAACCTAGAGCCATTATGTTTGTGGTTTCTTGTTGCTTCCGCTTTCCTCCCAAAAGGACGTGCTTGGGATGTGTGCTGCAGCAGCATGGCAGGGGGCCCAGCTCCAGACCATCCCTGTGCTGACAGCGGGGCTGGGGTTTATGTCTTTACTTACTCCCCGCCCCTGCTGTTCACAGGACCCATCCTCAGAAGAACGTTTCCACGTGGAGCTGCATTTCAGCCCTGGGGTGAAGGGCTGCGAGGAAGACGGGAACGTGCCCACAGGGTTCGGCTTTCGGCCGGCCTCAGCAGAGGTGAGCGGGCAGCCCGGGCACCCGAGGATGAGCTCCCTGCTGGACTCCTGGGGGTGCCCGTGTCCTCCTGAGCCCAGCGGGGCCGCAGAGCCCAGGCTGGAGTCGGTG